AAAGTTGGATTATAGAGAGTTAGGCAAAATAGGGCTTTCACTTTCACAAGTGTTGCCGACATTCTTTCATCCTGGTATATTTGGTAACCTGAAATACTAAATTCAAAAGAGAAGTCAGCATTTTGAGGAACTACAGGGAACAATAATAAAAATTAAGGCATTTTTGGTCAGGCTGCAGGACTGGTAATAGCTAATGAACAAGGCGTTTCCTTTCAACTGTTAGGACAGACCCAGTACCTTGTGGCATTTTAATCCTGGGGAGTCCCACTGCAGGCATTACAAAGAAGGAGAAAATCTGGGTTTTGTTTTGTTTGTTTTGTTTTGTTTTACCAAATTAAGTTATCGAAGAGCTCATTTACCATAAACAGCGAGTGAATGTGGGTGAGCTGATGAAGACGATGATTTATGAAGCTGTAGACACTTATGTAATTCCAGTGCCGGAAATCCTCAGCAAAACCCACTTAGGAAAATGAAACAGAACTTCTGTTATCTGCAGGGGGTAAAATTAGGTAGCTCTTGCTCTTACAAATTTCAAGTGACCCTACTGAGTTTGGATATATAAGGAAAGCTCATTTACAAAAGATTCATATTTTAATATAATGTTATTATATACACTCACACACCTGGAAAATTTTTGCAGTTTATATTCATCAGATCTTTAACAAGACTTTTGGCATGACTCTTTCCTTGTAAAAATAAATAAGGATTGAATCTTTCTAGTCACGTGACTGTGTAGCTGGGCAATATCTAAAATATCTTTAAAAGAGAATAAGTAGCTTTCCAACCGAAAAACAGTAAATACACTTCTTCTTTAAAGTGAATTCCATCTCTAAAATATAAGGTCTTCAATACTTTCCAAATACATAGACACATTTAGTTAGTGATCGTGGCTACCATCGGCAAACTTCTGCACAGTGGATAAAAGCAAAAAGTTACAGATTAGAGAAAATCAATAAAACCAATATTAAAATTGTACGTTAATTCAATATATTTGGTGTGCTTATTCTTTAAATACCAAGAAAAATAATTTTAAGAATTTCATGACATGTACAAGCTTGATTCTAAAATGTATTTGTAACATCCAATTTTAGAAGCAAAGTGTGGGTTTGGGAACTAGACTATCAATGGCAAGCACATTTCCAAATAAATAAAGATGGCAATACTCAATGCAGTTCTATAGTTAATCTCTTGCTACATTTTTTACAAGTGTTTGTACAGGGTGCAAATTAACCCCTCGGAATGATTCAGTGCAACCTGCTGCTGCGAGTTCCCCACACATTCACACCATCATATAACTAATGTAAAGGAGCTTTTCATTCATGTGAATCTATGCATTAGATCACTGCATGCATCTTATGCTGTAGAAATATAAACAAATGTGAACTACTTTATTCACAATAATATTATCTTATTGCAACATTTGTACTCTTCCCAAAGACTGCAAAATATGGTGGCACAAATTGGCAGAACATTTTTCGTTACCTTTGCTACAACTCAAGTACGATGAAGCAATGCCTGCTTTTGTTTTGCTTGTTGAAAGTAATACATCAAATTTTCTTTCACATATCCCTAGGTTTCAGGAGAATGTAGCCAAAGCATATTTTTAATTTTTATTATATTACCATGTTAAAAGTTCAGGTATATATGTCAGTGTACTCACAGGCAAACAATATATATGTAACAGTTACTAAATATGTAGCCACTGTAATTTATTTGCTATCAAAATAATGCCACAATATTATATGTTCAGCAAAAGTTTTGTTTCACTTTGTATTTTCTAGTTTTTCTGATGCTTGATATTACTAGATTTAGCTAAAATTGTTTAAACAAGAAAATGTATGAAATCTCTATAGAATTCCATGAATTCATGCTAATATTCAACAGGTTTTTATCACCTTTTCTCTGAGCAGCCATACACTGTACTTTTTACACTGTAAAAATGTGGATAATTTCACTTATACATGAACACCTATATCAAAAACATTGGAATGAAAAATGGGCTCAGAAATTATAGAGGTAAACACAGTTTCTCAGGACTTAAATTTGAGTCATCCAGGTTGTATTTCAAATTAGAATATATTTTCACTTAAGGAAATGGTACTGCTTTAACAGCATTTACAACTTAGTAGAGCTAACATTAATCAACAACAACAACTTAGTATTCAAGTGCCATGTTACTTGCATTAATATTATCTTTTTTTACTTAGAAATGTTACAGTTGTATATTTTTATATTATACTGGCTGAATATATTGGCACACAAAAGTGAGCAGGAACCACACAGGAAAGGCAAATAACACAACTGAGGATGGAATTAAATTAAAAATGTATGGAATGTAGTATGATCATCATCACTAAAAACCAAATTAAGGAGAAATCCAATATGGTACAACAGTTTTTAACAGTCTATTGAGGAATATGGAAATTTACTTTCATATACAATTGCCTTTCTGTCAGATATTCATTTTAAATCACTTAAAATCATTTGCATGATGAAAAAATTTTTTTTTCCAGAAATATCTAGCCTGTCTTAGTATCACCCCACATTAGTTCAAGGCTCTCAGTTAACAGAGCATTTTGCAGGACCTCACAAAGTCCATGTGGTGTAGGCTGACTATGTAGCCCTCTTTCTACAGGCAAGAAAACCAAGGTCTGAGCTAGGGTCACTGAGCTAGGCCTCAGAAAGATACAGATGCCTTTCTCTTACCCAATTAAGGAAAATACATCTCAACGTTTGGTCTAACCTATGTGTTTTCATAGATCATACCCAGGAGCTCCATCTCTCTCAAAGATCCTGAGCCAAACACAGCCTTGGCAGACGCAGTAGTGGACGGAAAGTGGCTTCGGAGATACTATCCGCAGGCTTCTTCTTAATGTAGTTTTTGGCATCCATATCAGGGCAGATAAGAAAAAAGGATAGGAGGAGAATAATCAGGATGAAGCTTTTTTCTAATATAAAATAAACTCCTGAAATATACTTATTTTTAGATCAGCCAATTTAATAATATTTATTAGATAGTACAACCCAGTAACTACCTGTATGCAATACAAGTATAAAAAGAAAAGAATATGTATGTTCAATATTATTAATGATAAAAATGACAAAGTCATGTATCTTCCAATCTCTGAAGCACTATTAGTTTCATCTAAGAAGATTTTCTGTTTCTTCTAAGTTGAATTTAAGGGTAAGAAAATGAAGAAAAAAGCTAAAATAACCAAGAGCAACAAAACAGAGGACACGTATTCCTGCTTCCCTCTATGTTACCAAAAATGTTCATGATTTGAATTAAGCCTACTAACCACAGAGCCAAAATCCCCCACCTGTTTTCTGGTTGATTTCTTTCCTCCCAAAATATAAGAACATTTTAACTCAAATTAAATTCAGCAACCTGCTATGGTCTTCATCTATATACAATGAAATTAAAGCCTTTAACTAAACGATATATTTTCTCATTTATATAGATCCATTCAATTCACTGTTTAAAAATGAAATTTATGGCATCCCATCCTCACATACAATTTGGAGACCATTCATGCTATTTCAAATATGGTCTCTTTTACATGACTGATCACTGATTGAAATGTCGGATTGGAGCTTATACCACATTCCAGACAAAGTGTGAAGAGAAGCACGCTGCCTACCTATTAACTCTCAGTACTCTCTTTTTCGCTTATCTCCCCGCAAAACTCCCTGTTTGAAAAAATATGTTCAGTATAAATTAAATGCATCTAAGTGTGCAGTTTCTAGTAACAGCCATTACAACATGTGCACACATGGGGGTGTGTGTGCCTTTCCAAGAGCCACAGCAGGGATTTAACAATCCCAAATCCCTGATATTTTGTCACTGTTTTGAAAGTTAGGAGGCGATGTGGAGGGATCAGAGAAAGTCAGACATCAAACCCATTTATTTGGAATCTTAAATTATGAGCTTTTATCATCAATATTTTGGTTACATTGCTACACAAAGGACAAATTAACATCTGGTTTGAGGTCTCAACTTTGATTGCTTTGGGATTAGTGACATGTCCTTGGCATAGGAATTCTGTACCCATCAACTCTCTCACTGTTATACAAGGTGCCAAAACAATAGGGATTTGTAAAATCACACCTCGGTCCCTCAGGCAATACCTTTAACCGCTGTGACTGCCACGTGGCCTCTCGCCAGGTGCTCCCTGGTGAGTGTCAATACTTCCTCTCCCCCGGCAGATCAAAGGAAGACCCAGGGAAGGGGCTGGTCCTGTTTTCTTTGAAGCTCTTGATCGCTGTGCATTACTCACTTAGAGGTGGATCCAAATAAAGCAAAAGGCAAGGGCAGAAAAGGGGTTTAGGGAATTTGGTCATCACAGCTTCAGCTCTTATATAATTCAGGCCCACTCAGGAATGCCAGGTTCTTAAGGGATTCCTTAAGTGTAGATTTAAAAAATAAAATAAGATCCATGTTCCAAGTTCTAAAGGTGAATCTGAGACTCTTTGGAATGAGTAAGCAGATTTGTCCATTTGTTATTGTTACTTTGACAGATACTTTTTGTTTGATTTGGTCTCATCCAAAGCAAATATTTTGCTTTGTTTAATCTCATCCATTAACTCATCACTCTTTCTCTCCACTACCCCCAGCATTAAAAACTGAAAGTTTTTATGGGGAGACAGCCTAGTATAGAAATGGAAGTAAACTTCTGGAGAAGAAAAAAAAAAAAAAAAAAAAAAA